GTGGGCGACGCCAACAAGTGGGCGCCACGTGGCAAGCGCCCTGCCCCTGTGCAGATGAGGAGCTTCTACATATACACCCTGGTCAAGGAAAACCGAGATGCCAGACGCGTCAGCGGGCATCAGCAGACTTTTCAGGACCAGAAAGCGTCTCGATAGTGGCGTCTGACGCAAGGACAGTCTCCCGAATGGGAGCATCATTGAAGCCATTCAACTGACACAACTTCTTGCCTGCCGTCCATTGAACATGAACGGCCAACAGCCGCATAAGGTGCAAAGCATTGCTCAAAACACTGCTTTTAGAAGAAAGACGTTGCGAGGCCAATGCTCTGGAGGTCTTCCACCACTTGCTGCCGCGAGGATCCAATTGACACTGCCAGATTCTGCTGTTTCAACCTATCCATGTACCAATACTCCCACAGCAGGTCTCCGTCTAGGATGCGGTCGCGGGGCGGCGGCCTCATGTGCTGCGAACCTCCTCCAAGGGACTTGGGCACACAACGGTACCGCATCCTGCACATTAGACACAACTTGGGTGCTTGAATTATACTGAGACAAAGGTTGCATCTTCAAAGGCACTGTCGGCCTTACATGAGATAAAACATTCCTATTCACAATCAATAGTTCACAAAAAGTCTAACAGTCCCTTGTGTGTCACACATGGGAGATGTCGCTGACGTTATGGCCTGGGTGCAGTGTCAATGACATCGCTCCGAACAGCGCACTACACAACAGTACTGTTTTGCGATGGAAGGAGATGCAAGTATCCACAATCTACCAGCTACGCAGCCCGCCATTTAAAAGGGCGCAAAGCAATGGTCCAAGGAGTGCAGCATTGGCCCACCTGAATGCTGCAGGGTTCAGTCCTGCATGGTGCGGAGCCTGGAGCACCATCTGCTTCTGCAGCCGCACCAGTCTGTCAAACATTTCATCGTCCCAAATGGGCGCCATGTACCCAAAGCCTCCATCCAGGGTGCCATACAGGGCGGCCTGCCTGTTGACGCCATCCGGGCAGCACATCTTCATGCGCACCATTCGGCCCACGTGGTGCCCTATGTGGATGCAGCCCCTGCAACGGGGCGCACAAAGGAGTGCATGAGCGAGCCACAAAACTGACAGGTACAGAGCAACAATGGTCAAGAGAAACACGGACACAGCATAACACAGAAATAGAACAAAATACTCCAAAATCTGTTGTTGTTCATGAGGGCACTTACAGATTTGCTTCAGAGTACAGAAAGCAGAAAGAAAAAATCGGATGGACGACCTTCATGGTACTCACTCGCTCAGCAGCCTCCGTCCATTCCAACAGTCCGGATGGTCCCTGCGGTAGGATTGTATCCCAATGTTCTTTCCGCCATCCGCAAAGAGGTAGCTCAACTTCGAGCCGTTCAGCAGAAACTCAGTTGAGTACACATCTGCATGGTTGAAGTCTTTCCCCAGCAGTACAAGCTCACGGACATCTGCCGAGTCGCCTGATGGTGACTGCAATGGACCAAAGAGAGGCACTAAGTGAGCACAACGGGTTGCACGTTCATCACCAAGTGACCAAACCAGCAATGAGCCAATAGATATAGATGCAGCATCATTTGCCACCATTCACAGCAGATAAGAGCTTGCTACTTTGGTCAACTGGCTGGCTGGGGACACCATTAATAATAACAGAGTCGGAACAGACAGCACAAATCACCTTCGCATTAAACCACGGCCCCTGACTTCAATAGTCATGCCACTACCATGCAATGCTCTTCTCATGTTTGACAGACAGCAGGTGGGGAAAAGGTACCAATGTGATGCCCCCTGTTTGTTTCATGTTCTGAATGTGACGATTCACGGCAATGGTGGTGATTATGTGGTGGGCAGCTCGACTGGCAACAGAGGCCGCAACCATTGCACATTGCGATGTGATGGCCGTCAATGGACTTGACAAAAACGGAGTTGTGTAGGCAACACAGTTATCACAAAAGCATCGCTGTATGCACCCACCGTGTACCACACAAAGTGGATGCCTTTGTGCACATCACCAAACAGCACAAAACTCTTCAGGACATTAAGACTGGTGATGTACAGGGGTCCATCAAAGAACGCCATCCTTGTGAGGCTGCCTCCCTTCCTCCATCCACAAAGCTCCAGCCTCCCACCAACGCCCACAAGCAGGCAGCCATCCAGGCACGCCAGTGCATTGACACTGCCCCTCACTTCCTGAGAGCCCACCACCTTGCCTTCCCACTTCTCCTCCGAGACGTCCTGTGAAGAGCTGATCTCCTTGTGTTTCTGGACTTGAAGCAAAATGCAGCGGCCACTGTTGGGATAGTCCTCGCCTGTAAATAGGCACAGGAGATGAATCGTAATAGCAATGGCTCTCAGCACAGTGCCTGTCCCGCTCAGTGTGCTTCAACAAAGAATACCGCCCGAGCGTCGATTTAAACTGGCAGAAAAAACCAATGCCGGATTCATTGTGGTTGAGCCATAAAGAAAGCACACGGCCTCAGGAGAGTGGATCGACGTACCCAACATGATGGATGTCCCAACTGCGATCAATGGGTGCAAGGAGCCGTCGTCCTGGTCCCGTAGGTGAACTGCTCGAACAGCAAGCCCAGCTTCATCAGGTTCCAAAGGCATCAGCCACGGGGTTGTCCAGGAACCAGGGATCATCAGCCGGAGCTGCACACCATCAACAACGCAATAAATTGATTGAACACCAGGTCTGTTGTACAACCCACCAAAAGCACTGACAGAAGCATCACACAGCAGAACACCCACATCACATTGACAGCACAACATCTTAAGAAGACATTCGTCATACCTAAGTTCAATGTGTACGCATGTTGAACAGGGTCCTTCCAGGCAAGCAATGAGTTGCTGCATTCTCTTCTGCCCAGATTCATTGAGCCTGCTCCGGGCAAGAGCCTGGCAAACGCCTGGGAAAGGACAGAGAGGCCAGTCTTCGCGCGAAGATGCTATCACTCACACACATGCATACCAGCACTTTCACAAGAGAGTAATTGGCGCCCAGCCTTTCTGCTGTCCTGTACCAACAATCACCTCATGGCCCTCTTCGTATTCCCTTTTCTTGGCTACTTCGTCAGCGACAGCGTACGCAGCTGCAGAATGTGTGTCTCCGCCCCCTTCTTCTGCTGGCCGGGGCCTGTATGGCACAAGCCTGGAGCACAGGACAGCGTACAGTCGGGCATCAGGGTACCAGGCTATCTTGTTGGGTGTGCACCTCATAGTGACCTTGTAACAGGGCCAGGGGCAGTCCAGCCGCTCTCTGTGAAGGACACAGATCTTCAGCCTGTTGGATGCCATCGCCAGAATGAAACCCTGGGGCAAGACATGGCCAGGTGTCAAAAACCACAACAATAGCCACCCACTCATGAATGCCTCAGCTGCGTCCTGTCGCTCCTGCATTCCATATACTTTGGATATTTACCACCTTAAGCTTGCATTCAGCTGCAAAGCTGTGTAGAAATTTGTGCGCAGCACCTTGCGGAAGTGTGCATTGAAACAACTGCACCAGTGAATGGAGTTCATCAGGCACTGGAAGCTATCAAGTGGGTGGCTGTCCAAATCTCGGGGGGCCCTGATGGCAGAACAGTGGTCGCCAGTTTGTCATGAATCAACAGCAGTGTCGAAATACAGTTGCGCCACAATTTCCTGTTGGCACATAAGCCAGGGTTTGCATTTCACTTGACAATAGAAAGGGCGCAACTTTCAGGATTTCATTCATCTTCCATGCATCTTTTATTGATTGCCGATGCAGGCAAAGGCTCCAATGTGAGTACTAACCTGTGGGCAGTTAATGTTGCTGAAGGGGGTCATTGCTGCCACTGTGCCATCCACCAGGAACTTGTGAACGGCGATTCCGCCTTGGTGCACCACCACCCACAAAGGTGAAACACCAGAGATAAACACTCCGCTGCAGGGGTTATCCTCCCCGACTCCATCAAATCGTGTCATCCTGATACAGCCATTGCAAATATCAATAACAGCAACACAGATGAATCTTTTGATAGTACCTGCTCGTTTCCAACATGATGGCAGTTCCCACTGAACCACATCTCCACCACCACCCCATGTTTGTGCAAATGTTCATGAGGTCAGGCTCGTCCTTCCAGCCACACCGATGATTGAAAATGGCTTCAACAAGGTCGCAATCTGTGCATGCGATCCAAAAAACTGCAGAACAATCCTCTGGAGCTAACGTGGCAAATTTTGGCAGCAGCAAAGCAAGGCTCAGAGAGCACAAACAGCCTCATGAGCCATACTTCCCTTGCAGAACCCATCAACATGCACAAGGGGAACATAGCACCTCAAGCACAAACTGAGCTGTCAATTTTGCATGCATTCCACCTCAGCTGCATCTCCATTCACCTGCACTGCTCTGATAGTGGCAACGCCATTTCCTCCAGGGAGTCACGCATGCCCTCCCCCTCGCCCCCTTCCCCTGGTGTGGCTTCCCCAGCGCCTGTTCCATCCGTCGCTCCCTCTTCCCCCTCCTCACCATACTCTGGGCTGGCCTCTGAAGCCACCCCAGGGCACTCCACCTCCACCCTGCTGAACGCAACCTGTTGCCCTGGTGGCCTGAAGGCCCGGTACACAAATAAGGACCCATCGTCCAGGAGAGCAAAGAGGATAGGGGCACCGCACACGGCCACCCCGGATGACAGTGCAGCATCGCAGTGGCTGTAGCGTGGAGGGAAAGACTCTAATCGAACCTGCAACGAAGTGGGCAAATCGCTTCTTGCATGGTCAAAGATTTAGGCGAATTTCCCCAATGTCGTTGCAGGAAGAGGTGGTTGCAAAAGGCCTGAAAAGGAGTGGTGAGGCACTTGCTTGTGGCTGGCTTCTGCCCCATTGAAGCCTGACACAATAATATCCTACACATTCAGCGGCCAGAGTTCAGCAAATGAATGCATGTGACAGTGGGAGAGGATGCCCTGCTCACCTCCACCACTGCAGGTAGTGCATCTTCAAGTTTTTCCTCCAACTCCATTTGCTGCTTCTTGCCCGCTGCTGGATTATGCTGCACGACATGCCACCCGATTGGGAAGAATGGCGTAACAAAGATGCGATGCATATGTGGCAAATTATAGATCTCCAGTGTACCTCGCCTCCGACAAACGACACAGTATATGGGGGCTGGCCAGTTTTGGTTACCCACTCCCTTGCATAACCAGAGGCACTTGTCAACATACAGTGCACATGCTGTTATTTCTTCCTCCACATCCAAAGTTGGCAGTTCTGTGAGGGCGTATGCGGCCGAACTAGGAAGGCAACACACTAACAGTCAGCATTCTTGCCAAGCTGCAAATTGCCCACATTGCCAAAGCACAGACCAAGCAGACTCGGCAAAGTGAAATAAACACGAATCCTAAGGGCAGGAGGATCATCTATTCTGTCAAAAGAAAAGACAGCCACAGCAACCAAACGCCAAAACCATGATTTCCTTATGCTGCACAATACAGCATGTGTCTCAAAGCTTTGATTCTGTAGCGTCAAGTAAACAGAAACTTAACTGCCTCAACGGGATGCTGGACTCATTGATTCATCAATTGGAGACTCAGCAAACCACTAGAACACCAGACTCCCACGCACTGATTTGTTGCGCTGCGCATGTACCTGTTTATCGAGAGTTGTTTGGACTTGGTGTCACCCTCCAATAGGCAGGCCCTGCCATCGTCCATCAGGACCAGCAGGAGTGGATCAGCAGAGCTGGCTGATTTGATGCTATTCTGGACTTGGGGTCTCCCAAGCCCAAGATGAGTATGTGCTTGTTCTGCATCTGTAACCGACATGAGTTGCTCCACAGTGAATTCTTGCCACAGTTTAGGGCCGCTGCAAACACGAAGGCCGCTCCTGTACACCTGAACATTAAGAATTGAACCAAAGTTGAGTCCTTGCCACAAGCATGCGATCATTCAGGCAGGGTATTCAGTTGAATATTCAGGCAGTCTAACCGCACAACAATGTCACCTGCCAAACTTGCCTAGTCTGTTGGTAACAATATCACTCCATAGTATTTTTGGTATGTGCACAACACTCATAGGCACAGGCCACTGACTGCCACAGAAATGGAATACAAAGTCAACATAAATGAAGTGCCTACCTGCACTGTTCGAGTGGCACTGAAGATGCTTCCTGCAAAGATCGTCAACTGATCCATGACAAAGTCTGATCTGAGGGCACAGGGGAATCAACAATCAGCTAGGAGCGTGTGGTGGCAACGATCAAGGCACAATGAAGTAAACCATAAAACAAAGGCTTTGATATGCAATCTCAAATTACAGCTTCTCAGACCACATAGGTGCGAAGGAAAGACAATCAGCTAAAAAGGATTACAGGGTCCTGGTCAACGCTAAATGCTTTCCAAATTAAGCACATATGGACATTGGCACCTCCCATCCCAACGAGACTTTCAAGCCTGGATTCACATTGTTAGTTGCAGCATAAACCTCTCAGGACAGCAGGAAAACCACATCAGCGAGCTTGGCAACATGGACTCATGGATCCTGAACAAAGCAAATGTTTCGAAGCATACAGGAAACAAACACGACTGGCATGGCATGCACACTTGACTGGAACATGAAACTCGAAATGTGCGACAAGCGCATGCCAGATGCAAATTCCATGACACGCTTCACCAATGGCTATGTGCACAGTGACTATCTCCATGCAACCACGGCAACAAGAAAACCTACATGACCTCATCCATGTTCTCCTCGCTGACCTCCAGCAGCTTTGTCATGTTTGTGCATGATACCAGTAGGTATGAGTCAGTGATGTGCCTTGTAGCGATGGCCATGTCCCCTTCTTCTTCATCCATGTACTGCAGAGCCCACACACCCCTGACATCTTCGATGGGGACTTCGATTATGCACTCAGCAACAACGCCCTGGCGGACTACTGCCAAGCACCCCCCCCTGCGCCAGCCTGCGCAGGCAACCAGCTGAGGCGAAACACTGCAGCAGACAGCACGGTTGTCATGTGACCATGTTAGAACACAATACCACTGTGGAAAGAAACAAGCCAATGGTGATTAGTCACTTTCAATTGTCCATGGCACACTGAGCATGGCACAACACTGCCTCTGGCATTCAGCACCACCACTCTTCATGGCCTGCCATTCTGCAAAGCTAACCAAAAAAGAAGTGTGTCAACAATCAATCTGCATGTACCTGCTCTGGCAATAGTGGCTTGTCACATCGGGTGCTTGCAGTTGCAAACAGGTTCACCACCAAGTACAGTAGTTTGCAACAGTGCCCGCCAGATAGAATGAAAGGGGATGCTGTGCTGTAAGAGACCTGCCAAATGCGAAAGCGCGAGGTGCCATACAGTATTCATTGATTCACAAAACTGACTGACAGGACCACAATGGCCATGAGTACGCCATGGCCAGCCACCACAATTGATGCACCGAAGTTCGCCAAACAGAAGCAAACTTTGTTGTATACAATGGCCTTCCCCTTGCTGAGCAAGAATTCAAAATATCAGACAGTACAGCAGCAGCTGAATACTTTATGCACAGCAACAACTGCTGCACTTTGCCTCCATCACATGCAATCTGACACAATTATTGGTACAGTGCTTGGAATTAGAGAGAAACACTGCCAACTACAAGCAGCTGACAGACGCACACTCCATTGAGGCTTCCCTCCCTTGCCAGACCCAGCCAGCTTTGCCTCTGTGTCGATATTCCCCTCCCTGTTTCCTCTGTTCAGTCCCTGCATTGTGCTGCCTTCTGTGACCTTCCCAATTCTTCCTTGTCCAGGGCACTTGGTGCATTTGCATGGCGTCTTTCAGATATGGATTCGCTTCTTGAGGGTAACTGGGGCCAAAAGCCAAGGCGTTGATGGGACTGTGGGTGGCCACAGGAGTGCATGTGTGCATTTCTTTCTCACAGGGAATCCCTTGTCAGTTTGGCAAGTGAACTCTTGCCATCCATATTGTTGGACATGGCTTGCTTACTGTGGCGTGTGGACAAACAATGGTTGGGCTGCTCTGCCACCTGTCGCATGTTGTCAGTATAGCCCCTTTGCTACCATCCATGCAAGTAATGACCTACATATCTGCAACAATTTGAGACGCGTGTGTTGCAGTAGATTTTCTGGCCTCAGCAAAAAAATCATTTCTTGCCTTGCCTGGTGTGCTGTGTTGATCCCTCGCCTGATTCTGGTGGCACCCCCAGTGTCATGTCCCGAATAAGGCCCGTGACATGCAGGACATCAGTCACATGTGGCTGAAAATGCGTCAAGCCACCACCACTCTCGGGCACATCAGATGTAGCAGGCAAGAAAATCTACAGGGAGCACACACTGGTATCAGGCTATTGCACAGTTGTGCAAAGTCCCAAAGGCAGTCTCTCTTTGGCTGTAAGTACGGGTCCTGCACTGAACTTTCAGACTTAAAACAAGATTGGCAATCCATGTTATTGTGGATGTGGTGATGCTTTTGATAATACTTGAAGAGCTATATCAAGGTATTGATTTGAAATCTGTATATTGCTTGCTGCTCAAGGTATGCAATGGCAAAAGATGGGATCGACACGCAGGTGAGAAATTTGTGGCCCTGCACAATCACCATGCAATATGACCTGCGCCCCTTGCCCTAGATGGCTTTGTAATCGCTATCCAGCAACACACCCAAGCTCACGAGCTCCCATCATAGGTGATCGTCATGAGAGATCGCAACACCTGGAAAGTTCAATTCCAAACAGGATCCAAGGACACAATTGGCACACCAGCGACACACTTTCCCAGATGGCCAGCAGTACCTGCAAGTCGTCGTCAATAGAATCCAGCCCCCCCTCTCCAACAATACCTTCCATTGCCTCTTCATCGCCCATGCCAGGCACCATGTCCATGTCCAGACTGTCCTCCTGAATGTGAAACAAGGCAAGCCAAGGTAAGCTTTGTTACAAATGCCAACAATGGCCACATAACTCCAATGACCGTGTTTCCAAGTGACAGGCGAAATTGTCACACAAAGGGCAATTCAAATCCTCAACAAGTCACAGACTGATTCCTAAACAGCCCACAGACTAGTTCCAGGAAACCTATGGTTTTGAATTCGCCAAAATCTCAGGCTTGAGATGGCACCAATATATAGGTAGCCTTATCAGAACTAACCTGGGTTCCAACAGAAAAGCAACAGTAGACAAGCTGCACCACATTGTGCCGACTTTCAGAAGCCTCATCCTGGACGCCCAATTCTATTTGTGCACAGCAATGCAGACACAATGAACAGCAAGATGTACAAGAAGGGACAACAGGGGCCCCACTGAAGGTTGGAAATTGCATTTCATTCCACCAACAGACTGAGAACTTCTCTCTTGCCTCAGTTGCCCTGCCTGCAGCTTGGCTGTCCTTCTTCAAGGGAACTTCTGTGAACTGCACCAGTAGTGAGTCACCCAATCGCGAGCCAAGGAATAGCATGCGACCACCTATCGATGACATGCATGACACGATTGGTGCACCGCCACATTTTGAGACCTGTCTGTGCAAACAAAGAATGTTGTATTCCCACAGCTGGGCAAGAGACATTGCCAGTGAGTCTGAGGGGTGCACTTCCCTTTCCTCTGTACGACAGCATTGGGTTCTAATATCAGTCAAATAACATTCACCGGAGCTGGTCTGGTGGCACCAGATTTCAAGCTGGCCTTGGGACAAGCTCCCCAGCTGAACTTTGCAGTGAATTAAAGAAGTGGGAAAGCAAGACGACTAACCCATTCTTCAGTGCTCAATTTGCACCAATATACTTGGTGTGTGCCAGTATCCACAGGGCAGGATGGTGGAGTTTGTTCCATTTTGGCAACAGGAAGCACAACTGGAAATTCAGAAGCTGTTGAGCATTGACTCAAGAGGACACGATAGGGTGCAGACAGACATGGTCACAAAGGCAGCAACTGGTCTGTGTGGAAAATCGATCACACAGCCTGTGCCTGTGGGCACTGCCATGAACTACCAAACCATGCCTTCCACAATCTACTCCGCTTTCATCAAATTGTCCACGAGCAGCACAATGCAGACTGAAAACAGCACCACCTGCATTCTACAACTTACCTGGAGCTGCTTGACGTTGTTCCCATCCATAATGAGCTGCAATAGTATGAGCTGACCTGACTTCAGTGCCACAATGAGTGACTGGGGATCGAGCCAGCTGCACTGTGCAGCATCCAATTCAATATCAAACACAGGTGATTTTGTTGCGTTCTTGCCAATGGCAGGGGCGCATTCCTGCAAAGTGAACACAGATGCACTCATGCAAACTCTCCTGGGCTACCATCTACCCAGTCATTGCAAACCGCCGCCGTTCACCTGTTAAGCCATGCTGTACTGTGCGTCTTTCAGCTCCCCACTGCACTTCCCAACGCTGCTTGCCTGTACTATGCATTGTTGCAGCCTTTACCTGCCCAGCTTGCCTAACTTGAGCATTCCCACAGATTCTAATGACAAGAAACCCACACAAGCCAACACCCATTCTTTCCTGAGTGCCAGCTTGTGAACTGCCACACCTCGCACTGTGGCAGAGCATAGATATCACCACAGGCAAATGACAAACTGTCAACAATGCAGCCTGGCAATAATGTTTTGCACACGAAATTGCTTTGGGCATTTGCGTGCTCAGCCTGGCATTCAAGCATGTGCCAACATGGGACCCTGCACACAACCCTCAGGATCAGAGGGGACAACAGCAGCGGCAAGTGTATACTGGGCCTGAACCGAGCAAGTGTGTGCAAGCACGAGGGCAATCTCTGTGGCAGTCGGCAACACCAGCCTCAAAACTTGCAACTCACAGGATGCACATTGTTTGCATAGGCCCGTGCCAGCTTGGTGGCCGTCATGCTGGGCACTTCCACAGCTGGGTCAAGCTCCACTCGCTGAGGCACCTCCCCAGCAAAGGCAAGGGGGTTGACACCAACTGCCAACGAAGTACCCTGTGTATAGAATCGCAAGCAGTTGATCAAGAAGTCAAAGAGCAGCAGCACCTTATAAACGAGAGTTAGTGTTGTTGCACAACAGTGCAATGTGACAATAGTGGACAGCGCGTTATAGCAATTTGCTTGAGGATGTTGTATTGGCAAGAAATTCAAGCATGGCCATGCACACAATACCATACAACTGCAAAGTATTTCCAAGGCACATCTCACAGTGTGTGGCATGTCCAACTGCACCTTGAACAGCTAGCTACAACTTTTGTCAAACACATTAGGGACCAGCCAATGCCATGCACACTGCCATCGAAGAGACACGCATACTGTCAAGAAATCGATGGCAGTTGAAAGGACAGCTCAACAAGCACGGGCACCATATGGTATTTCAGCAGGGCACAAAAGCAGCAGCTTCAAAAACTTCGATGACGATCCAAACAAGCCCTAGATTGTAGCGTACGCTCCCATGTGGCCAACTTGAAAACGAAAGAGGCACCCATGAACTCCTTTTGTTTCCTGACCTGGCTGTAGTAAGCAACCAGATTTAGGCACAACACCAAGGCTCCATGCTTTCTAGCAGCCACCAATTTATAGGCGTCGCTGGGTAGTCCTTTTGCTGACCAGATCACAGGGTAGATCCTTGACTGAAGGTTGACGGAAACTGCAGTGAGCCAACAGGTGTCTTTTCGCTCCCTGCACACACCAAAACTCATCAGCATGCAATTATGCCTATGTTCCAGCAGTGGCAACAACACATGCATCATCCATCTGTTCCAAATCACTGCACACCAGCACTTGGGTATGCAAGGCATCCAATTAAATATCTCCATTCGGAATAAACAGGGCAGCATGAGCAGTGGCAGTTCTCCGCCCAGATGATTAAATTGTCCTCCATATGGCCCCACCTCGACATGACCAGTCTTGAGCTATACATTCTCGTACAGCAAAGCACAGAATACCATGCTTGTCCAAAGTTGCAACATAGTGTCACGGGAAGCAAGGCCACGTCGGACATTCTCTTGAGGTTTGGGCCAAAACCCAATGGACCCAAATTTTGTTCTGCCCAAACTGTATGGGATGATGTAAGAACATGATGTGGCCAGAGATACCAGTGAGTCACTGATGACATTGCTGTGCATCAATTTAGTGATGCTTCACATCAGCATCCATGCTGTCATTTGTTCCCACACACCATCATATAGTGGTAGCTGCAGTGCATCAAGAAATGAATTTAAATTCCGTCACAGCCAATAACCATTGTTTGCTTGTGCCAATATTAGACTAAGCACAGCACTTGGAAATATGCCGTCAGTTATGTCTTATTGAAGAACATCACACCTGTACTTGGCAGGCCATGTGGGCTCTGGCTCATGCAAGATAAGGATAACAGGTTCGTTATAGCCATGAAGGAAAACAAAGTCTCTGACCTGCAACAGAAAGGCACAACAAACTGCAACACTCTGTTTTGACAATTCCATTGTAATTTTGATGAAGCACAGACGAATCTGAGCAATTGTAGAAGTGAAACTGAGAGAACGACCAACACAAAGTTGCAGCTTCATACAATCTGTTGTTGCCCTAGAGGACAACAATGCATTCATATTCAATTACACAATAGCATCTTGAAAACCCCTCATACCCATCAAATGACATTGTTGCCACAACATGCAAACACCACACTTTGAGGTGGCGTGACAGTCATGCCAAACGTCCAACAAGTTCTGTCATTTCGTTTGCATCCCTGCATCGACAACACAACTATTGCAAGTAGCCCAACAACACTCCTTCTGCACCACTTGCCAGTGGCTGTTTTCGCTATCCACATCTGGACTGTTAAATACAATATAGAAATGCCCTTGCACCTTTGTGGAGCTTTAAGGGTGCATCATGGATGCAAAACTGCCCCATATGTAGCCCACCTCCTGGATTCCCATTTTCCCCAGGTGCAGCACGTAGCTGTTGCCAACTGTCGCTGCCGATGTGCTCGCGCCATGGTCATGGCCTGCATCAATGTGCTCTGTGTCCATAGCAGGCAGCAGTGCCAGCTGGTTCGCATATGACAGCAGGCACGCACAGCGGCCCTGTGGGTCAGCAGCCACCCTGGGGCCATAGGGAAACACACTGCGGCCTACGGTGAGCGAATGGTCGCCCTCAAAGAAGTGGAGTGACGTGGTCTTGAGGGTGTGGTTGACATCATCCCAAATCACCACAGAAACCTTGGCTTCTCTGAAGGGCCGACATTGAAACAAATTTGAGGACGGGGGGTTTCGGTTTCATGGCCCCCGTGCCAAGCACCCAGCAAATCATTTTCACTTTGAGCACTGGACGATTTTGCTATGGTTCTGCACTGAGACTGCGCACCATGCTGTCTTGCAATGCACTTGATGCAGTATCAACGATTGTCTCTCTTTCGCTGGAAAAAACAGGTCATTCAATGTGCAAGGCCCTTCTGAGTGAGAGACTTTCCGCACTGTGAATGATGACACACTATCACACTGGCTGCAATGCAGATCCGCAATGGCACAGCTCACTGCAAAGAGGTAATAGCACAGTCCAGCACCATAAAGGAACACAGATGCAGAGCCACTGCTGATGGCACACAAATGTCATCATGGGTGACTGGAATCGTCCAAAACGTGTGTTCTACTTTATGCACACAGTGCATTCCCTGTTGGGAGCACAAGGACACCAGCAGCACAGCTGAGCCACTGAACTTCTGTTGTCGGCTGCCGTACACAAAATGTAACCCAGGAGAATGTGAAGAGCAGCCAATATGACCTAGTTGGTACATGGGGAAGCTACTTATTCTATTCTAAGAGTTTCAAATCAATGAGGACTCCTGATCTCATGCTCACCTAAAAGCCAGCACAACAGCGTCCCTCTGGCCTTTCTTTGCCCTGCTCTTCAACACTGCCAGGCTCTCCACAACCCCATTCAATCTGAACTGTCGCACCAGTTCAAGCTTGTGCCCCGCAATTTCATCAATGCCAACACTGCATTGAGAAGAGCATAAAAGTAGTGACGTCATGTATTCCAGTGTTGTTTCACATGTGGTCACAAACAATGCTTTGCCTAGATTGGGACACTGAAATTTTGCCAAGATAACGATCCAGTATGCAACAAAAGCTAGTTGAAGGAGTACACTCATCGCACGCACAGCAGCAGGAGTTCAGGATGGAAGCATGGGGGCCACTGGCTGCGCAGCGTTGTCCACATGCCAGTCACTTGCCCTTTGCTGTTCATCATGCAACAAATCCTCAAGGTCAACTTTTGGCAGAGTGCATTGCGCTCCACTTCACAACTCACAATCTGGCATAGAAAATTCTGGCAGGCGGATATCCAAAACATTCGCCGCCCACCACTGAAACACAAATTTCAAATCCGCTTGGAGAGCCTGTGCATCTTAAACCAGTGCTTTGGCCCCACAGAAAGAGAGCATTGCTGCCCTGCGGCGCCCAGGAATGCCCCTTTCAGCACAACATGCCAATCAATGCACAATACCCTTCCCAACTCCCACTTCTGGAGCACCTGATGTAGTAGACATCAAGCACAGTGGACCTGATCACCACCAAGTTGGGAAGCAGAGGTGAGGGCTGTCCATCGACGGTGGGCGAATGTGTGAACCATGCCGTGCCGCAGTGGGTAACCGAAGAAGGTGGATGGATCTGTACAGGGAAAATGAAAGGCGAAAAGGAAAGCACTGCGATATCAGCACGGCATCATCTATATCATGGGGTCCACATCCATTTGCAGGCTGGCCGACCATCGAGGCCGCCGACCGCGGCAATTACCTGTTGCGAAAGGGCGAGCACGGGTTGGCTTGATACCATCCCACACCGGTGGTGTTGCAGCCCAGTCGCTGAGTGGGAAACACAGAACTTCCGCGGCTGGGTTGCGTACACAGGCCAAGACGTTGTCAGCACCAGGCGGTGAGTCACCACCCCAGTACTCAATACCCACAGTCCTTCCGTCATCACTGGTGACGGAAGGACTGTGGCGTTGGATGCTGCACGGAGGAACGACGAATTGCGTGAATGGGCGTCCGAATGAGCGTAACGTAACGGATGCCTCTGAACTGTTTTATCATTACCCATAAAACTGCTGAATAAGCCCACACACTGAGCAGCATCCAAATCAAATTGTGGCGTGGATGGGTGCGGCTCGGAGTAAACCCGCACGCGCAGCCCAGCAACTTTCCGTTCGAAGGGGAAGTCCGGCGTCGGACACGTGCTTTTGGAACACACTGGCCGCCCGTGCCGTGTTTTCCTTTTCTGAAAAGCCACAGTGTTTTCGATGCCCGCTGTCCTTCCTATCCACCAGGTAGTTGGGCACATCAGCCAGGTAGCAGGTCCTGCCATTTCACACTCCTCGGCGTCTGTCGGCTCTGCCTCGATTCCTCGGTTGCAACAACTGCCAGTGGCGAGCCGTTGTCAGGTCACTGACCGGTTCGGCACTGGGACAGCTGTTGGGTGGCAACGAACTGTGGGCAACTGAGCTCACAGACAGATCCCGAGCAACAATGTTCTGCTGCGGGGCTATCCACCCAGTACACGTGTCACAAAAATGTCAGGACACCGTCACCCGATGGGCAGTTTGCGAGCAACTCACTCGATTGAAGTGTCCGATCGCCGATTGCAATGATGGGGCCTTGGGTCTGACATAGCGCGGTTGTCCAATAGTTGTGGACCACCCCATCGTCCCCACGCGCTGCCCCCCACGAAAAGGGGTGCGCTGTCGGCGCCCAACCCAGTCGCCAGTGCCCAGCGCGACGCCAGCCGACATCGCCGGGCGCCGCGGGGCGAGCGCGCCATGGACTTCGGCGCCAAGGGGCTGGGCGCCCGCCTGCGCGGGGCCCCCGGGGCCCGGCTCGCCGCCAGATCGCTCGGCGGACCGAAGGCGCCGACTCGAGGGTGGGCACCGTTGCCCCAAGACGCAACAGCCGCCGGCGCGACCTCCATCAAACCTTTGAATCCAGTTCTGTCGCGTGGGATTGCCTCCTGCTGGCCGAGATTGCTCGCTGTGCCCGTGATCGCGGCGATTCTCGTCGCCGGCTGGTACGGAGCGTCGCGGGGCCTCATAATGATGTTGTGTTTGCTGCCGGCAGGTGTGGCCCGACGGCGCATCGACAGGGCGCGTTTCGCGCTGTAGCATGCACACCGCCGCGGCTTCCGGGTCCGTCCGCCTTCGGTGCGGCCGGCTCGAAGATCGCCAAGGTGCGCCGGGGCGTCCGCGGGCGCCGGGGCGGCGATCCGGCGCGTGGGTCGCCGGGGCCGCGATCAAGATCGCACGAAGTTGATTCGATCTCAGTGGTGTCCGGGGTGGCCACGTGCATGTTTATTTGATGCGCGCGGAGCGCCCGAAAGGCGGAGTCACTCCCTTGCTCGTCGCCAACGATGGGACCATGCAGGCGGGAGGCCGAACGGTTGCGTTCTGTGGACGGGAGAACAGTTGGCTTCAGTGGCAGGTTCTAATGCGCCTTTGGTTCTGTAGTCATTTCCATTGATTTCGGTATTGATCGCCACGGCATTGGCTTCCATCAGGGTCAGTTGGGTTGTCGGCAGCCACTCGCTCCTGGCAGTCCGTTGAAATCGCGGGGCTTTGTCATTGGGATAAGCTGGCTGCTGGGGAAGGCAGCGTTCTGCAGATTTGGGCTCAGAGCTTTTGGGCGTATTCATTGGCAGGTCGCCAGGATTGCGAGGGGAAGTGTCACCCAGCAGAATGGGAACATTGCGATGAAGGCGGCCGTAGCTTCAGCAGCGCCCACCGAATGGGAGGTCAGTGTTTCCTGTACTTCATTGCAGGATCCTGTGGTGATTTCTGCAAAGTACTGTCAGTTGACAACGAAACCTGCATCAGCGTTGTTCGAACTTCAGTATGGATTCCCCCTGCTTATGTTATTGGTACTCTTGCATTTCCTTATCCCAAAGGCAGAGGTGAAATTCATTGTTTTGCCTCAAGTTTCCTGTGGTTTGACGTCCTGCAGACCTTGTTCACAGTGCCCTGTGTGTTCTGTCCTCAAACTTGGCCCTCTTGACAATGTGGTGTTTAACTCTTGGCTTTGATTGCACACAGGGTGCTAAGCCAGTTCCCCTGGCCATCACACTTGCCGTCGGCCTCGTCATCAGGTTCCTTGTGCCAGTCCCAGAGGGAATCACAATGAAGGTACAGAACAAGCAGCAGTCATCGATAATGGCTGAATAGCACATTGTATTGCCATTGCCGAATGTTAGATTTGCGCTCCCATCTGTTACTGGATGGCAGTGGTGCTGTCCCATAGTGGAAATGCAAATTGGCTTGGGCCGCTTGTCTTATGGGACTTTCCGTTGTTTTTGTCGCTCTACCACATTGTTTTTGGTTTGTCTATTCCAATCGTGCCATCGCATTTCAGAAATTAGGTGTGTCCCATTATAAACTACATTGTGCATGTATTTACTGCTTTGGAACATGGTGCACTTTATTTGAATCATGTGAGCAGTTTGCTATGCTACTTTTATTGGCAAGCATTCACTGATTGTGAAGGCAAGAACCACTATTTGATTGTGTTGATTGTGAAGGCCAGAGACTGGCACATCAGGGGTGATATCAGTTTGCTGTTGTTGGCAGACAGTAGTGCATGAAAATTTTTAGGCTGAGTGTTTCTTCTGCAGTGGCCACGATCATCTCCACCACGCAGTACCATCCTCCAGTAGTTTCTTTCAGTGGCTTGCACCATCAGCGACATTGTTTTGTGCGTACCCCAGGGCTGGACACTCCTCTCCATTTTCCTCTCCACGATCTGTGGCCTGGTCTTGGAGCCCCTGCCAACTGGGGCAGTCGCTTTCCTGGGCCTCACGGCTACCATCCTTTCTGGCACCCTCACATTCGCCCAGGCCACAGCTGCGATGACGTCGGAGGTGATCTGGCTCATCGTGGTGTCATTTTTCTTTGCTAAGGGCTTTGAGCTGACTGGGCTGGGCAGGCGGGTGGCATTCCTGTTTGTCAAGGTCTTTGGGAAGAACACATTGGGCCTGTCGTATGGCCTCAACGTGGCAGAGGGGTTCATCAGCCCTGCGATGCCTTCCACCACTGCCAGGGCTGGAGGCATTTTTGTTCCCATCATGGCTAACATTGCCAGGAATGCGGGGAGCACACCAGGTGCGTGGCAGCCTCCCCAGGACGAGGGTAGCTAGGTGGTTGGCATCGACGTCGTCCAAAGCATTGATGCAGTTTCCAAGCAGCATGAAAAGCTATGCAAGTCCTTGGGTCATTGGGGAAACACAGCACAGCTCAAAGTGAGGAGCACTAAGGGAAGACTGTGTACAGCACTGAATGTCTGCCAACAAATGAAACATTTGAGCAGCTTTCATTCTCGGATCATGAAATAGCGTGTGTTCTTGATTGCTTCAAATGCTGAATCGTTGTCAATTGTTGGAGCATTTGGAGTCCTTTGCAATGAACATGCGCAATGAATTTGGTTGCTAACCAAGAAGCTGTTATGTTGGTGAGATGGGTGAAGAGTGAAATAGCATCATGCATTTCAGCACTTGATTAGCTAAGGATGTGTCTAAAAAATGGATAATGTGTCAGCAACCCACTTTTTGCTGCACATAAATGGGATATTTTGTGCCCCAGAATGTGAAAGGGCATTTTGTGCTGTAGTTCAGATTCGAATCGCACGAAGTTGGGCGCCTTCCTGGTGCATTCGCAATTTCAAACTAGCTCCCACACATCGGCCCTCTTCCTAACGGCTGCTGCACAAAACCTCTTATGCCTCAAGCTTGCAGCGGACACGATCGGCACCATCGGAAACCAGTTTGTGACCTGGACGCTTGGTGCCTTGGCACCTGCAGTGGCAGGTATGTGTGTCTTTGGTAGAGTTATTTTCCCTGTTGGTCCCTGCACTATTGTCTTCTTAACAGAGAGGAATGGGTGATGCTTTTGGGGAAACATCCTTGACAACAATATATATTCAACAGGATATATCCTTGATAACAATATATATTCACTGGACTTGCATTCCCTGCTGTAAAATGTTTTGCAGAAGTCTCTGAGTCCATCAGGATAGTGCACATCACAGAGCGGTCAAAAGCAAGAAACGCGCACTCAGGGACTTTGTTGTGTGTTTGTGGACATCCCTGTCGTTATGCATGTGCCAAAACGTTGGTTGGTTCCACGTCTGGCTAAGAAAACTTGCTGGGCCCTAAGGTGCATGTCCATCACTGACAGGAGGGCACAGGGCCCAGAGTATTGCCTTCAACTGAGACTGGATCAGGGTTTTTGGTTTCTACCACCTGATCTTGTGTATTTCCATCCCATCTTCCTTTCAATTTTTGAAATTCTATGTTGTGCATTTGAGTGCATATGAAGCTGTGAATACATTTTATGGTTGTGCATTCTAGTTGCTGTCACTAGAACTGCATTAAATAATTGCACGCGGTGGGACAGAATAGCGATTTCATTCTGTCGTTGTGTTTCTTTTGATTTGATGTTCATGGCTGTTGCAATCTTATTGATGCATGGGGTATTACGCAGGGCTTGTCTTGTGTCCCCTGCTCATGTACCAAATGATGCCGCCTGAGCTGAAAGCAACCCCAGAGGCGCCCAAGGAAGCTGAGAAACAACTTGAGAATATGGGGCCCATGTCAAGCAAGGAATGGATCATGCTTGGCACCATGCTGTTGGCCATCACTCTGTGGGTAAGTCTTCGCCACACCTCCCAAGGTGTGGGTCATGTTCTGGGATGTTGCTTGCGGATGCTTCTGTCAAAACTCCTCAGCCTAACTTGGCTCCTTCTGGTGTCACAACACATGCAATTCTTTGACTGTATCTATCTTGACCGGTGCCAACAATACTAGATACTGGTAGTGGTTGTTTCGTTGTTGCTGCAGCATGTATTTGAGTGATCAATAGGTCAGTGCAGCTGATCACAATCTCAGTGCATCTTCCAGCCATTAGAACGGCAAGGTTGTCGCTGTTGCTTTTGGCAAAGAGCCATTTTGAAGTTTATGCTGATGACCATGAGCTCCCAGTGCCCAGCTGCTTTCCTGGGAAAGTGTGAAAAAGCATCATTGCTTAAACGGTCCTGAACGCTGTTGCTGGTATCAACCAAACACACAATTCTGGGGCCACAATCATTGTTCGCTTCACATACAAGATGGCTTCTGTGGTGTGGCAGGTGTTTGGCGAGAGCCTCGGCATCCCTGCTGTGCTTGCGGCCATGATGGGCCTCTGCATCCTACTTCTCTCTGGCACCCTTAAGTGGCAGGAGTGTCTGAACTATGCCCCCGCCTGGGACACCCTCTTCTGGTTCGCTGTCCTCATCGGGCTCTCTGGCCAGCTGAACTCGATGGGCATCATCAGTGCCTTCTCTGCGAAATGCGGGGCTTTCCTCACAAGCCTCAACCTGGGCACGATGCCCCTGTTCGTCATCCTGCATGTTGTGTTCTTTGCCATTCACTACCTGTTCGCTTCCCAGACGGCCCATGTGGCCGCCCTGTACTCTGCCTTCTTGACGCTCATGCTGTCAGCAGGTGAGTTGTCACAAGCTCAGCTTTGGATGGGGTGCTCAACGTTTTGTGCCACTTTGCACGCATCAAGAAGCAAGGGCATTCGGTAGTGCTTGCTTGATGGCGTGCAGCCAGGCATCCGAATGCGAATTGCTGCTCTTGATTGATGGGCATTATCATTGACGCACTGCCTGTGAATTGGGCCTGAGTGTGTCAACAAGACTATTGCTCGAAGGAGATTAGGAATACCACATATGCCAATCCTCTTGTCCCCCCAACCCCACCCTCATTTCCTGCAGACTAAGGTACTCTGGTGGTTGAACACAGTGGCACTTTGGGTAACCAAGCTAGTGTTGTGCTGCTGCACTGCAGGCGTCCCACCGCTGATGGCAGCCCTCTCCCTTGCCTACAATGCCAATCTCTTTGGTTCCATCACACAGTTCGCATCTGGCCAGGCTGCCGTCTATTATGGCTCTGGTTTCATGACGCTGCAAGAGGTCTTCAAGATTGGTGCCCTGTTTGCATTCCTGAACTTGACGCTGTGGCTGGGCATCGGCATCCCATGGTGGAAGGTCCTGGGATGGTGGTAGAAAGTGGCAACACCAAATGTTGCAGCAGAACACTTATGAAATGTTGGAGGAAAGTGCAGCTAGCGTGTCTGCTGACCACAAGGGCGGTGCGAAATTGTGGGAGCCTTCAATTTTCTTGATGTGCATCATGGTCAAACGACCACATGATCGAAATTCTTTATTTATGGCTAGAGAGTACATTTCTAGAGGGAAATGCCAACTTGTTTTCAGTGCGTTCGGGGACTTTGTCGCTGTTTGGAACGCATTTGATACGTTGCCCAATGGCGCACCTAGTCAATTCTAGTGATGGAATATGAGCGAAGCGTTCATTTCTGTTGGGATGTTCTGAATGCCTGGTTGGGAAAGCTGAGCTTGGCACGAATGGGCGGCATGCATACCTGCATCCGATGATAGAAATGTGATCATGGTCACCATGGTTACCTCCACAAGGACTGTTGTGACTGGATTGCTGGACGTCTTCCTGTCACAATTGACGGGACACCTACATGCACATTCAGGATTTCTTCTGGGTTCCTTGATCCAGCAGTAGCAGTCTCTATGCATCAAACTCGTTCAACTGAACCAAATGCGTGTACAGCAACGTCTCCAACAAAGAAAAGGGAACAAAGGGGCAAAAGAGGCAGCCAACCAGCCATGGGTTCATCGGCTTGCGCACATCAATGGACAGAACTTGAACTTCGCAGCGTATTCTGAAACTCAAACGCTGAACAGTCATCGAGCCGTTCCCCAACGCAGTGAACACTGGCCGCGCGGCGGTGCTGAATCAATGAGCAGCAACCCAACCACAGCAAAACACCATGGCAAGCTACTACGACGCAAGGCAGTGTCCTTAAGAACTTCACTTGCGACTTTGTGGCCCTACAAACGCTTACAGCTCCAACGATTAGGACAACTGGCGAAATTCCAACGACCAGAGTCGTGTGATCGCAACTGCGACACGGCTTTGGGGCCGATGAAGCCACACATTCACCAACTCCGAGAGCACTGCTCGGTCCCGTGCCTGGTGCGCAAATGCTTCAAATCCTCATGTCAGTGTCCCCGGTGTCGACACCAGGCCTGCGCCTGCCGAACAAAGCATCACCCAATGATCCTGGTGTGGGTTGCGCCAACAGGAATCGCGCCGTGCACAGCAACAACTCATGCTTCCACAGCGAGTTTGCGCGTCTGCGCCCAAGAGTTGCGCGAACACCCAGGTCTCATATTTACATGCCCGTTACCCGACCCGGAGCAGGAATGCGTTTTGTACATCCACGTCAGCATCGTTGCATAATAGTCGATCCCCGTGACATTGTCGCAGGCAAGCTGGCACGAGGGGTGGCGACCTCTGACTGGGGGCCCGTAGGCTCGGGCACTCCGCAACGGTTTGCAGCGGAGCAAAGGGACAACAGGAATCCCGTTCCCTGAATTCAATCCTAATGTATCATCACCTCCTAATGCGTCCAGCTATTGATGGTGCTAGATCAGCTCTTACAACAACATGTCGCCAGGGCGTCAGAATCCTTCCCTCTGCCCAACTGATTGTTGTGGCATCGAGCAGCCCAAAGGACAAATCCGCTGTCCGGGGTCAAGATGTCGAAGCTGCATGACTCACATGATAGTCACACACTGACCAGATACAACATAGCTGCACCAAACCTCCTTGCAGAGCCCGAAGGCTGCCCAGGTCGCCATGTACCCCTACGGCGGTCAAGGGCAGTCGGCGCAAGGGGGCGCTCTGGTGCCCGGAGGCCAGCGGCAACCGACCCCAGCGCAGGCACCGACGCCCGCAGAAGTGGCTGCGCTTTTGGGCGCAGACCAAAGCGTCAGCTCGCAGCAACGCGCAGCTTGGGACGAGTCACAGTCATCGGTGCATTGGGGGCGATCGTCGGCGTCGGGATCAGAGGGGCCACCACAGAATCGAGAGGGGCGGTACCTTTGGCAAGGTGAGCTCCCCGTTGCGGCTCCGTTGGAGGACAGGCACTCGCAGTTCTCTCCATGCGGCTGGCATTCAATGGGTGGACCAGCCACGCGCCCATCGTTTCCGGTCGTCCAATTTGTCTTGGATCTTCCTCAGATCCTGGATTTTTTCGCGTTCCATATGCCCCTGGTCAGCCATTTCCTCGTTAGGAGTCCCAGTTCCTATTTCGGCTTACAATCTCAGGTGCCAGCGCCCAATGCCGTTTGCAGGTCAATGGGATGAGTCATCGTCGTGCTCTGGATATCAGCAGGAGGGATCCTTGAAAGATTGGGCATCTGAGCAGTCATGTGGAGACTTCAGATCACAAAAGGGAATGCCAGTGCCCTTGGCTGATCCATCGGGTGGGCCATGCACAGACACTGGATCAAAAGAGCTGGCCAATGGGCACCCGCAGGACCCTGGCACAGGTGCAATGTTGCTGTCCAGGGGATTGCCTCCCGGCCAGGCGTTTGGTGCAGTGGACTCTGAGAGCCAGGTGCACAAAGCCCCTGCCAATGAGCAACTGGCTGCATTGGGGGGTGCATTGCGCATTGAGGATCTGTCGGCGCAGCCATGGGGAAACTCCAGAACTCGCAAGGGAGCATGCTCCCCGGTTGAGGAAACACTGGAGCAGCCCAGGGTGCACTCTAAGTCTCAGCGAGAAGGAAAGAAGGCCTCTCCGGTCCCTAGAATGGGGGACACAGCTAAAAGGAGGCTAGGTGGGACACGTGATTTTGGCTTGTGCTATTTGCGATTGGTCTGTTGCTCTGGGGCGCAAGCCACTTCATGTTCAATGATTGTTTCTGCTGAGCGTCGATTGTTGCCTAGTTTCTCACAATCCTTGGCATGGTCTATGGAGACGGTGCCAGTTTGTGCGTGAGAAATCAAACTTCATTCATCGTTAAACGGCCACAACGAATGCTCATCGAAGCCCTGTGCTGGATACCTGCAAGACAAAATCCATGCAGAACCCCTGAGTCCATATTTTTCGCCTCCTCAGCTTTGGGGTGAAATTGTGTCTGGTTGCAAAAAGCCTCCACAACAGCATTCACAGAAAGAGTAGCCGTGATAAAATACAGGAGAAAACTTGGTTGTGACTGTCAGTGATGTCTGTTCAGGGCAGCTGCATAAAGAAATCGTAGAGTTTGCAAATGAGTGCTTTCCATCCAAAGATGAGCTGCATTTACTGGAGCGAGGTCTGAAACAATTGGAGAACGTGGTGTCAGAGGTGTTTCCTAAATCAAAGACTGTCCTGTTTGGGTCTCAGGTACGTAACCGGATCCTTATTGCCTCATGGATGGCGTGCTTCTGGATTCCAGAATCTGGATTCCAGAATCTGGATTCCAGAATCTGGATTCCTTTTGCTCTTCATTGGCAACAAAGGCCACAAGTGCTTGATCTGGCCATGGAATTAGTGGTGTGGTGGGGTGGATTGGATGGGATGGGTGTGGGTGTGTGTGGCATGGGGAGAAGGCCAGCAACTAGATGCTGATTGCTCAGCACCAGAACACCTGATTATGCACAGCTCCTCAGCTTGCGCCAGAACTCTACCCATGTCTCCTAAAACTTGGTGCTGAACTCTGGGCAAGAGTCAGTAACCGATAATTTAGTCCAAGGTAAGTCCATTCCCCAGTACCCATCACAACTTATCACGATGGGGCATCCTGCACTTGTAAAATATGTTTGCACTGTGATACCTTTTGTTTCATTGTCGACTAAGGAAATAAATACTTACAGGGGTGGAAAGCTTTTACAAGAGTCTGAAGGACAATGACAGTGACTTCTTGTTCCAGGTCAGAAAATGTTGTTAAATTGAATTTGGGAACCATTGTTATCATGAACAGAACGTTCATGCCCTTCAGCACAATACAGCCATCGTGGCAACGGCTGCCAGGAATGGTTTTGAAACCAGCGATTAATCTCTCAAACTTAACTCCCTTCAAGGGCTATGGGGCCCTTTGTTGTTGAACGTTGTTTGGGGAAACGATGGCTGGGGACAGCAGTGTGTGATATGTAATGGCAGGGAAAGTCTCATCAAGCAATACATTCCAGATATACACCAATCTTGTGCGTTGTTGGAGAATCCACATTTTAACTGACTTCATGACTCAGCTCACATTTCTAAGGCCCTAATTTTGTGGTGGGCATGCAAATGGATCCAGGTGTCCCCTCACATGCCATCTTCAGTATACTGAGTGCCCAACTGCACAACGGATGGCATGTTGAGCCAAACATATAATAGTATTCAGTGGAACGTGCTGAGATTAGGTGAGATTGGGGGTTGACTTCGGTGTGCGTATTGTAGTGTAGCTGATGATTGAAAATGAGAGGATCAAAGGACAAAAGGACTCGTTTGACTTTGCTTGTATGTGCAAGATGGGAACAGTGCCCAACACTCAAGGGGGCATAGGAGCAAAACTCATCAGAATCCTGCATGCAAAGCAGTGAGAGGGAACTGGTGGTCTTCCTAATAGCAAAATTATGTGGTGCATGCCAAAAGACGAATCGCTGTCAATTGATGGTTGAAGGGCTGCTTTAGCAGTTCTCCAAATGGACAGGATGTATTGACAGCATCTGAACTGGGTGCAAATGCGTATGAAGGGATGGACATACAAATCAAGTGGAGAAAGCGGACATTTGAGGCTTCTGTGCTATTGGCCACCACCCTGATTGTCCCCTTCCTCTTGTACTTGTAGGCCAGTTCCTTGTCATTGCCTGGCAGTGACATGGACATTGTCATCCTTGGCGTCTCTGGCGTTCGAGACATATTTTCTGTTCCTGCCGAACAGCTCACCAATGCTGAGAAGCACACAGTGAATGATAGACTGACGCAGTTGCGTGACCATCTGAAACACAATCGGTTACTCCTGGGCAGGGCCTTAGTGGTGGGCCATGCACATGTGCCTGTGTTGAAGTTGGGCATGAAGCTTGGTTCAAAAACATTCGTGCCTGTGGATATCACCATGGGCGTGAAAAATGGTGCAGCGGCGGTGGAATTGATTCAGAGTTACGTGTTGAGGATGCCTGCTGTCCGACCTTTGGTGGTCGTCCTCAAAGCCTTCCTCAAGAAGCAAGACATGAATCAACTGCATAAGGGAGGGGTTTCCAGCTATGTGCTTTTCAACATGGTAAGTATGATGGAGGATTGTGATGCAATCCCTTCGTGTATGTGGTATTGATATTATCAGTTGCCTATTTCACGCCCCCAAGTAGAGGTGACTAAAACAGCCATTGGCTATCAGCTTAATCAATGTTCTGACTTGTGCGTAGTGCACTCGCTTGTTCGCAGTTGCAAATTGCTACATTGAATGTAGGCCCAGGAGGGAAGTGATTGTGGCGACTTTGGTAAGGGATCGTCGGCAATGGCATTATGTCGTCATGCAAGTGATTGAGGTGGCATTGAGCTGAGGAAACATCATTTCATTAGACTCATCATTCTCCAAATGGCAAATGCACGCAGCACTCACGCCAGCTAGTGTGTCATTACACAGTGATGAAACAACACAACAATGTACAATGCAAATAATCGTGCATCCAAACTTAACCTTAGAGATTGGACTATAGGATAAAGTGCGATAGTGATGGATGGCTATAATTCCGGCATCATTCGCGTATACGGTCATTGACACATATGTGTAATTGCTCTTTGGAATCGACATATACCAGGAGTTTCTATCAAACTCCACCAAAAGATACACCATAGAGTTTCGATAAGCAATGAGCAAGTGAGACTTGAACTGAAAACCCAGAGCCCATCCACAACACAATCACTCATGCCTTCAGATCGTATGAGAGTGTATGTGGGGTGACCGTTACTGCAGTGTGCTGTGGGCACTTGAATAGTCTCTATTCGAGTGCGCCACACGAAACCTGCATGTGTAAGTTTGGGTTGCCCTTGTGCACAAGTCCCAAACTTGTGAACCTCAGGGTGGGATGCAAGCATAATTGCATGGTTACAAAACAACAAAGCATATCATCCTGCAAGGCCATGCGCCCATTTTATAAACGCCTTTTGACCGTTATCTAATTGAACTATTTATATTTAACCACCATCCAGAGGACCCAATCTCTAATTGAAATTTGGCATTCTGGCATCTCATTGGCTAAACCAACTTTGTAGTAGGTGCTTGCGCCAAAACCTGGTGCTTCCGGTATTCACACGGCCTCCCAGGTTTTGGCGACTCACCAAATGTGTAAAAAACGCATGTAGAGTATTTCAAAATACGAAAAAACTACAATGCTGGAAAAGTTGTGAAAACCTGCAAACTTGACTTAATGCACCGTAGCGAAAAGGCACTCGTGTTCATTTCACAGAACAGAAATGTCACCCCTTGATAATTTTTATCGGGCGCAGTGAATGCTCCCAAAACTTATGACCATATCGGTCACTGGCGTAGGCCACTCAAACTGGAACGCAAATATGCGCAGGGCGTTTGTTTCTGTAAAACACGAAAATCCAGTGTGCACAATACATTTGGAGTTTGGAAACGGAAACATAATGTGTGAAATACGGTGTACAATGTACAACGTCTCGCAACATCTAAATGACATTTAGGTGTTCAAAACATAAATGAGAGTGTTCCCGAAACCTGGCGCCAAACAACCATGACAGCTGAAGCGCCAGTGCGTGCAAGAGCGTAGTGGGGATGGACAGCAGGACAAGAGGACTAAAACGCAAACGGAAGGGGGGAACTGAACGTTGCTGTCACACCCCCAAACGTAGGTCTTTATGTGGGTTTTGAATTGGGAGTATTTCCAACTGGGTTAACGCAAATATGCACTTCATATTCCATTCACGTTTGGCTCCTGAACGCAAAGTAACCGTGAATAAACACTTTCATTTGCGTCCATGATTAGACTTCAAACATAATTATTGGAATCATTGTCACAATGGATCTTGGCATTGCTCCAAGGTACATACTTTTAAGGGAAAATGACAAAAGGGGGTCTTCTGTGAGATATCTTGACAAAAGGGGGTCCTTTGTGACAAAAGGGGGTCCTCAGACCTTTTGTCAAATCTTTCCTCCTCTTTCCTCCTCTTTCCTCCTCTTTCCTCCTCTTTCCTCCTTTTGTCAAGATATCTCCCAGAGGACCCCCTTTTGTCATTTTTCCTGCTTTTAAATTCAGTAAATTGTAATTGTAGTGTCCTGATGCAAGTGAACTATATGGGTATTTGGTGAACGGTTGTTTGTAACCTATGTGGGCGTATAGGCCACTTAGTCTACCAAGGTTTCATGGCAGTTTGCATCCAATGAACACTGTGCATAGCCGTGTGCGTTTTCTACTTACTATCTTGGAAGATGCTATTTTGATTTCGGTATGCTTAACATCAGATGGACGCTAAGATGGTGGGATGGAGTGGGGTTAGGCGTGGTAGCGGGGTCCAGGCCATGGCCATAAAGAGATTATGTATTTGCACGAAAATCAACATAAGGTGGGAAGATGCACAACAACGCAGCTGCACAGGGGCAGACAACTCATGACTTGCTCCAATACCTCCCTCAAACTTTCTATTTTAGGGAATTCTTTGGAATGTTGCAATTCACAGCCTTTGGGGTTGCTCCCATCGCCCAGCTTGGCTTTCAGCATTCCATTTTTAAACCTACTGCAATCGCTATATTCTCAGCTGTTTCCCTCAAGATAACTCAAAGTTGTATCACATTGTTGCTAACGTTGCTGATTTATCCTGGCATCAAAATAAGGATTGACGGTCGGGGGAGGGGGTCTCCAAGGCGGGGTCTGAATTCTGTGTGCAAGTGACACTAAGCGTACCAAATTGAAAATAGTCTCTTCCTTTATTATCAAGCATCTTTCACCTTGAAATCCTAATCTGTGGTGCAATAGGTAACATGATGACCCCAGATTGTGTGGATCATAGGTGGTGTCATTCTTGGTGCGCGAAGGCCATAAACCCAACAAGGAAGGTGTGCCACTAAAACCATCTGTTGCAAGGCAGATCGAATTTCTCCAGACGTCAATGCTGGAAATGAAATGTAATCTTGGCGACTTACTTCGTCGGTTTTTGCATTGGTGAGTAACGCCATCGGAATGGTATTTGTTTCCTCGTTACATTCACACAGGTGACCAAAATTTTGGGCCATTTTTTTCCATATTGGATTCTGATGTTGGGTTTGCATCGGGGAAAGAACAGAACTCAGAGGACTTCACAACATATCGAAAGCCCCCTTCGGACGTCCAGCTCCTAGTTCAGGAGGGATTTGTTGGTGCGACGGTTTTGGCAAGCGCAGGCCACACAATCAGTCGTTCATGAATTCCCTGCGACTGACCTTGTGCACCCGCCTTGCCCAAAATAGGCAATGACCTAGCTAGGCAGCTCACCACCGCCCACAAATTCGAAGCAAGAATGTCGCCATTAAGATGAGGCCATGGCGCTGCCCGCGCATCCTCGCTAACTTCCTATTCAACGCATTCCTCTCGTTGCCCCGCCGCTTGCCAAAAGCAACAATCATTTTTGGGCATTAAGCGTTACGTTGTGTGATTGATTTCTTTAGTCTTTCTTGGTGTGGAACGAGATGTGATGCAAACTGGAGCAGCCCACAACCATGGGGACTAGCGATCGACGTGGGACTTGAGAAACTTGTTGAACACTTCTAGGGCGACTTGGGGGCCGCTTTATCACTAAAATACTCACCAATTAATTTGGGCAGAGGAAGCACATGACATTTGTTGCGATGAAGCTTTGCTGTCTGATAAAAAGAAAAACTGTCACCCCAAACTGAAATGAATGTTTATTTGTGACATATTGGCGTATTTATTCTTATGAATGTGCTGGAAGGACTGTCCTTCGAGATTGAATTTATGTGACTTGTTCAGGTATGGTTTTGGCTTCCCATACGAGACTGAAGCAGTGAGCATCAAATACCCTTGGGAGGATGGAGAGGCAACCACAGCAAAATGGAAGTTGGCTGATGATTCTAGGCAATCGAAAAGCATATTGGCTGTGGAAGATCCACAAGTGGGTAATAGTTCCTTTGTCCCATTGAGTAACAAGTACAATGGTGGCATTAGAACGGATGCCATAGGGCTGGCAATTCCTCCCATAGTTGTCCAAGCATTGTGGTGTGTATAAAGTTGGGCCGTTGTAGTATAGATCAACTAGACCAGTTGATCTGTGCATTATGCTAAGTATGGTGTCAGTGTACCGCTGAATATAATGCTAGCGCAGGTGTGATGTCTTGAACTTGCGTGCCCCTTTTAATGACAGTGGGGTTCCCTCTCGGTGGATTTGCGTATATCCATCGATGTGCTATATTGCCTTTGTTGTTGGCCCATGCTATTGTCAAAGCATGGGTAGGGATGACTACGTTAATATGCACACCACACGTTCGCAAAGTGAGGCAGACGTTTGCGTTTGCAACAAAAGATTGCAAACATAGTAGCAGGTGAACGAAAAGGGTGCATCCTTTTTCGCCCGCCAGAACTAGCACCCAGAATCACCGCGTGAACTCGCAATGTACATGAGTGTCCCACCCTTGCAAGCACAACACCAACCCACAATATCGTTGCTGGTTTACATCTTTAATATCAAATCAAAAGTGTTCAAAGATTCCGATATTCAACCGCCAAATCCACTGCTGACTGGCCTTGAGCCCATCAATCAAGAATTCGGCTGACCACGCTGCAAATCATTACAAAATCACACAAACGGATTGCAAAAAGGTACTCAACCGAGCACGCTTACTGGCCTAGTACGAGTAACCCGAACAATTGCAAACCAGACATGACTTACTTTATCACTGATGTGAGGGTCTTGTCACATATGACTTTCTTTCTCGTTCAGGATACATCACGTACGATGGTAACCCTACTGCTTTCCTCCTTGATAATATGGCTATGGTGATTGCCGTGTGCTTGAAAGGTCGAGAATGTTCATCTATTGTAATTAGATGTGTGTGGAACTTGACAAACGCTGTGCAAGTATTTTGAATGTGAATGAGGGCTGTGTTCTTCACATCGTCGCGAATCTCAAATGTTTATGTGGGAATCATACACAATCCCAATAGAATGTACTAGAGGACAAGGAACAAAATAGAAAATTTAAGGAAGTAGATCATGCTGATATGTGGGTTTGTGCATGTCAGGCTGCCGGCAAGGACATATGCAAAGGTTCAGGACGCATGCATGATGTGAAGGAGCTGTTTCAAATAAAAGCAGAAAAGCTGGACATGGTTTTAAATGCCCCAGATGGTCCAAGGCTGCAGGTACATTTTGTTATGTCTTGCAAATACGTACCTTGAGATAACGGGCACAAGGATTGATTCCTTGTGAGTCTCAACATTATGCTGATTGTTCCATGTGGTGTTGGTCAATGTACGAATTGTTGCAACTGCGTACAATACCCGCATGCCTATGCACGGACAGCACATAGGCATCTCCCTAGAGAAGACGGATTGTGTACCATTGGGAGAATACGGCTGCAACAAGAATTTGCTGTTGCATGGTGTGGTTAAATATGCCTCATACCCACACACAAGCACACACACGCCAGTGGAGCCTAATGATCACAATGTACTTATTTTGGCCATGGCTAATTGTCTGGATTGTGGCAATAATGAGTTTATATTATGTTGTTGCAGCTGGGACCAACAACTGGCCATTTAGCACAATGTTGTTTTGCAGGACAGAAAATATGAGATGCTGGATCATGTGTTCAAGATAGGAGATGTGTCAAACGGCAGGCTGATCCGCAGGTTTAACACAGGGGCCAACACAAAGGCACTAGGTGAGGTGAGGTGGCTATGGTACGTGCACAAGTAGTGCTCGTGTACTTGGAAGGATGTCGCAACGCAGTGAAGTAGGACACACAACTTTCTGCTGGAACGCATTCCTATTGATTCCAATTACAACGCCTAGTTTAGTCCATTGATAATCATGTTTCTTTGAGATAAGGTCAGCCCATTAAAGTTGTCTAATTTTTTATTGCAGGCCCGAGTCTATACAAGAATTATACGAGCTTCCCTTGAGGGTGTTTCTGAACACCTTGCTCTCTGCTGCGGTCGCCAGAGAAGTCATTGGACGCAATGCTGCAAACGCAGTATGTTGCCTTGATGGTCATGGACGTGTTCGACTTATGGTCCTCTTAGAGGCACATGAGAAACGTAGCAATGGATTGGGAGAGGCGGCAGACCTTGTGTTTGCTTTGAAGATGTTCATGTTACGCTGTTTGTGAGTGTTGTGTGGCGATTGGTATGCAATCTGTGGTGTTCTCGGCCTCCTTGTGGGACGTGATGACCACCCGGTGGCTTTTGTCACGAAAGCATTCCGTTTAAGGCATAAATTGAGTCACTGTTGATAAATTTTTGCCATAGCCGAGGTACAACAACCCAAAAATTGGCACCAAGTTGGTGCCAACCTCACAACAGGCATATCAAGTTAATTGCCTGCCCAAGAATTTCAACTTATCTGCAGTTCTCCTTCCCACCAGATTTTAGGAATCCTGGAATTTTCATTTCACTTCTCCCTGGTTTTTCGTCCCTTATCATTTTCCATGCGCTTATTAGCATATTCAGCTCAGGGCGACCTGATAGACGAACTGGCATGCGATAACACATGAGAAGTTGATTCACCGCCATGGGCCATTTCTCAGGGGTTCCCATGAATCCACCTGCTGCCGTGCTTTTGCCATTTTGCAGCCCACGCGTCCGCCGTCCCGATGGTGGTGTTCGGCGGCGGCAAACCCAGGCAGCGACGGCAACTGACGTTGCCAGGGGTGGTGATGGGCGTCGCGGGGGTCATAACCCTAGTGTACTGCGCGATCCTGGCCACCTCCACCCAGAGGCCCGTGTACTTCGGTCAGGTGCGGGAGCCCCGGCCCAGGCCGTCCGGCGTATGCTGCTGCAGTGGCGCCCATCGACCTCCGGCGCTGTGCGACTCATGCGGCCTTACTGGCGCAGATCAGGAGTGGCGCGTACCCGAGGGCTGGACTGCATGCTGCTGGGCGGTGGGATGTACCTGCGCAAGACACTGGAGAGAACGGTGGGAAAGCCCTCTGATGGTGTGTGCACTGCTTGCATGGTGCAGAGTCCATCGCGCCCTCGTAGATTCCAGAAAAAACGTGTTTTCCCGCATTGGGGCGCAGGGGCGACGTCACAACGGATTGTGGTCCATTCCCAGTGACGTCTTTTGCTTGTGCCTTTTTTGTGTCCACCGGGCTGTGAGCGCAGCGTTGTTGTTGTTCGTCGGCTTAATTTTGCTGCCAACATTAGCAAGTGCTATGTCTGCCTTGTGCATTAGAACCAAAAATCAAGTCCATACCTTCAACTATCGACCGCCGAACTGGAGCAACACTGTCCAGCAAACTGCAAAGGTGTGAGAGGGGGAGTGCGAAGTGGGAATGATCTTTGGCAATTGACTTGCCGTTGGATAGGTGGTGCGGAGATTTTGCAGGAGGCCTGTCGAGCCAGTTTGGTGCGGTACCACGCGGTGCTAAGCGACTGGATATCTGGACGCGAAAAAGGAACTGACATCCAGGAGGCCTGGCGAAAGCTGGAGATGGCTGAAGAATTCATACTGATCGATCCTAGCGGCCAAGAGGTACACAGGTGTCTGTGTATTGAACCATGCCATCAGGATTCCTTCATCCCTTGTTGCAGTGCTTGAAGTTGCAGTACTTCAATGTTCTTGCTGCGACACAAAGGTCCAGGCACACCTGTGATTGGCTAGTATTCAACGTGTCAAGGGATCCAAAGCCAATGCACTCCATAGTCAAGCCTCTGGTACAGTCTTCTCCAGTTTGTTGTTGTCCTGTTGGTCCACCTGTCATTTTGCCCCGCTATTGTGTCTGCGAACGCTGCCAATTTGTTTGGTGGATTCCTTGTTTGGAGGCACATGGGAGTTGCTCACATGCAGGCACGTCTTGGCAATCAGGAATTCAGTGGAGGGAAACGATCATCGGACAATACTTGCTCTAGTTCCAGGAACATGATAGCACAATTACTGGCACACCCAACTTTGTTGATGTGTGATTTGGGCCCTGTTGCAGGCTGCATGAATCCAGGGTTGGTGTGTACCCCTGCAACTCGCACAGCACTGTGATGAGCAGTGTTGTTGGTGGTGGCTGTGCTGCAGATGGACAAGCCAAGGATCCTGCAGCTGCTGCTGTTATCCCATGGATCCGATTCACAATTCCATACTCAACCCTCTGACATACAACTGACCTACGAGTCTCCAGATAAGGTGAGGTATGGGGCCAAGAACAAAGAGCTGAGACCCAGCAGAGGCAGCACAAGTATCAAAGAAAGTTGCCTGCGGGATTCAAACGGTGGCAAGTGATGATCATCAGGGCAGTTCTTGTAGTATTGCAGCATGGATTTAAGGACATCAGTATCAATGCTGATGCCTGGCTCAATGTAACTTCATCCACAGTGTCTGAAGTCAAAGGGCCTTGTGCATCTCGGATTGTTCACAAATTCTTTGCATTTGGGGTTCCACACGCTGGACTCACCAGGAGAATCAAATTTGAGATGTTGAGTTGGCAGGGGCACAGGGAGCACTATAATGTGTGGAAGTTGTTGTTAGATGGGATCATGATCTGGCACCATTGGGGCCCCATGAAATCCTTTTGGCTGTCAAGGAAACCACCTGTGTGCGGGGATGCAGGTTAATGTTAGATTCCTTGAGCATCAGCACACGAGAACAAAAGAGAGGTTAATTCGAAGCACTGGCATATGCCGATCTGTGCCCCAGGCCACAACAAAGTCACTGCAGGTGGAGTGGCTTCGCTTGGAGGTGGGTGTCAAGCTTGTCAACCTTGCTGTTTCATGTTGTGGTGCTCTCATGGTGAACTGCAGTCTGTTTCGGGAAATGTGATCAGCATGTGTGCTCTGCAAGAGTGGAGAAGGGGATTTTGGCGCCCAATGGCACAACTTGTTTGGCCCAACAAGCTCTGTTCAAAGAGCTTCGGCCATTAACACAGTAGTTCGTCAGCTCAAGACTCACAGCTTGCAGCTCCACTGCACACAGCATCATGTAGCTTCTGAGTGAGTAGCAATGTGCGGCCAAGCCTCAGCGGAGTCACAATGTTGTGGGGAATTGATTTTCTGCAGGAGAAACTGGAGACAGTCACATGAACCACACCACAAGAAACGCACTGTTGAGCATGCCTGGGAGAAGAGCATGAGCAGCAGGGTGGAGATGTAGGGCAGTTTTTGTAACGGGTGATGTGTTGGAGCCTCAGAGTGTTGGCTAACGGTTTTGCCACTGAGTGCAAGGGGCTGTCTGTCTGGGCATGTGTAACAATGAAGGGGTGCTCATGCACATAAATTGATGGATTTAAGTGCACCAATGGACTCCACCCACATTTATGCACTGCATAACGTGTTGAACAGACGGGACTTTTACCACATGCTTGCGAAATGGGGTTGTCGTTGGGTTGAGTGGGAGGTGGGTGTAGCTTGTGGAGCGCTTGTGTAGTTGTGCTGAAAAAGAGTTGCCTTTACATGGGAATAGAGTGTTGTTAGTTTCAGTTGCCGTCAACTCTCGTTATTCATGACATGTTATGCAAAAGGATTAATCTGCAGGCCTCCTCTGGTGGCCCCCACTTGCAGTAGACTTTCCGTCATGGCCAATTACAGCTGGGATCAACGCCTGAATTGATTGGCCAGGTGCAGGCTCCTCCCAACAATCTGTTTGCCTCCCATCCAGTCGCCCAAGATTTTTTTCGTTTGTTTATGCTCTCCCGCCTTGACCACTCCCCATTCCCTGATCAAACCGGCACAGCACCCAGGCTCACGCACCATCAGCGTGTCTGAGCGTGTCTGAGTGTGCCTTGCACTTGCGCACTCAGCTTCTAAGCCCTTTCTCACTGCTTCCTGTTTCTCTCCTGGCGGCACGGCGGTTGCGGCTACACCGGGCTGCACCGGGCCTGTCTGGAATTGCAGGACACAATCAAACCCCCTTCTGTTGGTCCTAGACATTGACTGCGTTTCGTTCCATTTTAGAACCTACATTAATCACCGCGCAGGGAGCGGATCACATGGGCGATGCTCCCGCCAAAATTCACCGGGTCAGTGCATTTCGCGCCAACGCCCCCGCTGCAGCCGCGCCTGTTACGGCCGCCACCCCCGCTCGGACCCCTCCCGTCGCGGCAGCCGCGCGCCACCCCACCGCCAAGCTCACAGGAGCGCTGCGGCGACAGATGCGGGCACGCCGGCATGGCGCACGGCGCCGAGCCCCAGCGCCACTCCCGGCGGATCTGCGAGGGGCTGCTGTTCCGCAGGCGAGTGCGGCGCGCCCCAGGCCGGTGGCCGGAACGGAGCGGTGTCAATTCATCGAGGTTAAGCGTGGGTCTGGGATTCGTGTTTGCGCACGTCGGCCTGGGATTGCGATCTGGAGGGGGAGGCAAAGGGGGGCGGAGAGCGCGTGACGCCTGCGGCGGGGTCGTCAGGGCCGACGATGTGCGGTGCGTCAACTCACAGGACGATTTGTTCGAAATTCTGAGACCGTGGGACGGACTGACCCCTGTGGGCAAGCGGAGATGTGATGATCTGGGTTGCCTGCTTCGCTGCGGCGGGGTTGGATTGCGGGGGGCTGTGGACGCCGCGGAGGTCGATGCGTCTGGGCGGCCGAGGGCGTTGTGGGACGTCGCGATTCGGGTGGCGGGAATCTGCGGGGCTGGCTGCCTGCCTGCCTGCGCGTCTTGGGTTGGAGGTGTGGACTGGTTGCGTTGGTCGGAATCCGGCAAAGCGCGGCGCGTTCAGATTTGCATTTGGCGCGCTTGCGATACTTGTGGGCATCGATGCGTCGTTGCAGGATGCAGCAAGCATTGCGAACGCCCAGTTTGAAATGCGAATCCCTCGCCATCCCCGGCTGTGTTGGCCCCAAATTGAAGCACCAGTAAAGCAGGGATGGGGCCGCAGGGGGTGGGTGGGGCAATGGTAGCGACTTTTGGGAACGGGAGCGCGTTTCTCCATTGCGAGGAGGGGGAAGACTTACAGTAAGAGCACGGAATGTTGGCAGCACGAGCGCTGAATTTCGAAAGTTGCAATAAAGCATAAATGGCAAACTGCAACAACGTAACAACAAATTAGTGAGCAGCACAGCTTCCAAACCTGGGCACAGTTGTCAACTATGCATCCGTGGCAGATTGCGCGTCGACCTTGAAAGATTGTATCAAAGCATCCGCAAATGCCTGCGTGCTTTCCAAGGTAAAAAGCTCAATGCTAGAATTGAGAATTTGCCAATTGTCCCAGAAGTGAGGGATGTCTTGGATTGCATTTCACTTGCGAACAGTATCTGGGCAAGAACATGCTACCTGCACGACACCATTTCAACTAGCAATTGCCAACACCTGTGACAATTTCTTCTCTGCAACCAGGTCAACATTCATGGAAGAGTACTCCCGCTGTCGTCCAGGGTTTGCGAGACAAGGCAAAACATCTGTGCCTGCACGGGTTTTACAATCTCTTGGGTCCACTGCAGAAGATGAAGGGCAGAATGGATTTGACTCAGACAACTTGCCAATTGAAGGCTGGACAGATGAACCGAGCACGGTATGCCACAACAACCACCCTTGCATAACTGCGCTACCTGCCTACACCTAATGCACCTATCTACTTGCACTGCTTGCAGGTGATTGGAAAGGCATGTCCACACGTGAACAATGCAGTTGACAAGGAAAGCTTCTGCCCAACCAGCAATTGTTAAATCGAGGAGTACACAGTTTTGTCAGGGATTGAGTGCCTTGCTCCCAGGAAAAATCAACAGAAACCTGGCCAGCTGGACAATGAGAGTACTCATCCAATGAATCATGATCATATGATGATTGAATGTCAGTTTAGAAGTGGACGAGAAGCAATCTGCAGGAGGTGACCAGAAGGCAGTGTAACTGCAGTGCCAGCATTGTGCCATTTGCTGCATTTCGTTGGGAAGTTTCAGTTTTGCAGATCACCCACACTTGTTCTCAGTGTTTCTCAGTGCAGCAGCTCCCCATAATCTGATTCCACACATGTTCACCACTCCATTGGACAGCGAGTCATCACCTGTTTGAGTCAACATATCTGTATATTAATTGGTCATTGAGGTACCAGTGTAGATTGTGATATATATCATATCATGGCAGGTGCTATACACCATCCATGTGACACACCAAAGTTGCAGCTGTTGGCCAACTGTTGAACATTAGAAACCATTCGTTATGTCCAACAGATTTGCAACAGAGACGTAGCTGGAATGGAGTCAACTGTACATATCAAACATCCAATGTTCCACCTGTCACTCGACAAATGATGTGTATGACATGTAGAATCACTGTGACACCTTCTTGCATCATTCCCCACAGTGGCCGATCCACAGATCCTGCAACAAATGTGTTTGTGGTGATAACACTTTGTGATGACCGCCAAGGCAAGTGCACCCTCCCAATGCATTGGTTCATTCTGACGGCGACAGTTTTGCAGCCAGAGAGGTCACGAATCATGTCGACCAGGCTGCGACGGGAGCGGTCCTGCCCACCTCACTATCTTGATGATGTTCCTATCTGCGACAGCAATGGCCACAAGAAGGTCAAGAGGCCAGTTTCTGCTGAAGCCACGCACAATGCACGCAACCTGCACAGCAGGGGTGCAAGGAGACTGACCAAGCGGGGGTCGAAAAAGAAGGTAATTTGTTTGTGCATATCCTGGCTGGGCGTTTCAAAACACTGGAGTATTTATGGGGCAGCCAGAGGACTTTGGTGTTGCTAGTCTGCATTAGTGCCCTCTGCGGTCGCGATGTTGGTTGTCCTTATGTCAGATAGTTGCATCACAAACTGGAGTTCAAGTGCCATGCCCATTTTAATGTAGCAACAAGTCTCCGCAATTTCAGAAAACAAAGCAATGCACTCTGTGGTCATCAATTTTCGGATTCTATGCAGGCAGCTGTCAGTGCCTGATACAGTCAGCATCCTGTCCGATGGAATTTCCCGATGATAGGATGTGCATCACAAAGGAAACAGTTTGGACCATTGAGGCCACGACATTCTGCTAATGAAGCCAAGTCGCAGTGCCAACTGGCCCTATGTGATTTGATTATGAAAGCAGGCTGGCAATAGGCAACTGTGAAGGGAACACAACTGCCTGCATATCACAGCTGCACACTAGCCCCCAAGCGAGCATTTGCATGGAGCAAAGGCAGTGCAGGAGTCGATAACCTGTTGAACGGTGGCATCACATGCTTTCGGTGATCCACCTTGAACATGCACCAACACGCACTGAATGCAGCATGAACATGTTTTATTGCGCTGAATGAGTTCCATGGCGTGCACGTTTTGGTAGATTGGAAAGCGTCCACGGTCCAGAAGGCTTGTGCTTTGCAAAGGTGTCACGCAAGATTGCCTGGAGGAAGGTGAGGGCGATGCTGCGCTGCATGGCAGACGGCTGACCACCGCTACTTCTGACAGTAGGGTCGACACCAACAACGATGGTCATCAAAGGCCTTGGAACATTCCTGATTGTGAGGGATCTGAAGAAGGTGCAATGCCCCGCGACAGGCCTGGAGTGAAAGTGGATGGATGCTGTACGACCAAAGAAGGCAGGTACATTCAGGTCCAGCCGAAGTGTAGGAGTCAAGAGTGTGGACCCAACCTGTCAGTTGATAGCTGACAGAGATGGAATGTTCTAGGTACTCCAGGTGACAGGTGTATCAGCTTTAAAATTCTGCTGCAGTACAAATCGCATATGTCAGACTGTTTCAATTGTAGGTCAGCTGGTACCATTAATCATATATAATCCCAAGCATCTGACATGGATCACAGTAGCCTGGTCTTTGTAGATTGTGAGAACTTCAGGTTGAGCCAGGCAGCACATACATAGTGTGCTGTGGTAAGCTGTGGAGACTTTCAATGGTGGCTAAATATCATGATACCTGGACAGTAAGCCCCCAGGCACTGTCGCATGTGAGCATATTGCAATCAGGGCCATTAGCTGTTGCCTTAGTTTGCACTACAGTAGTCATAGCGCTATCGATCCATTGGCATAGAAAGACTTGCCACCCCAAGTCCAGATCATACCCCACTTGTGATAACTGGTGTGAGACCATGATTTCAGGTTTCAATTGTTGCCCACACACATAGCTACCCTTTTTGTCAAAAGGTTGAAAGACCTGTCCTGGGCGCTTCATGTCACTATGTCATCCACGTTCTGACGACTGCCTCCTTGGCAGGTCCTCCAGAAGGCCATCGGACAAGCTATATCTCCAGCGAATCAGGGAGGTGCAAGGAGTCACCTACACCTCCTGATCGTGAACCTTCCACAACATTCACAAAGCGCCAACGCACACTGACAAGCAGCCTTGGTGGTGGTGGAGGCCCACAAAACCATGTAGGGCCGGCGCTGCATTCGAGTGTTGACTCTCCTCCATCGGCAGCCACTGCCAACCAGCCTCAGTCAAGCCCTTCCCAGATCAGGGTGGGAATTGAAGACAAGCACGGCAATCGGCAGGAGAGGGTACAAGCTCTTAGCTCTGTCGCTTTCCCAGGGCACCCAGGCAGCGCACAGGCTGGCAATAAGCAAGCATCCATGCCCTCTGCTTCTTCTGTGTGGAGGCTCCAGGATTGCCAGGATGACAAGGCTGTGGCAAGTCCCATGGCAGTAAAAGTCAGAAATGCGACTTCATCCAGATGGCAAGGACAGACGACGTGTTCTGATGAGGTGCTGCATGAGGAAAGAAGTCTTCTGGGACAGCGCACTACTGACGGCTCTCATCGGTCCCCCGAACGCGCTACTTCTTCCCCGAGCGGCAGTGAAATTGGGCTGATTGGATCTTGCCACCATGGTGGGAGTATGGTGCCAGATAGCAAAAGCAATTTGGGGTTAGCAACGACAGTCTGTCGCAGTGATATTGGAATGAAAATTTCTTCTCTGCACTTGAAGGACAGTTGTGCAGAGTCGGCTGTGGCTGCCACGACCGGTGCTGCACTCCGGATACCCAGCTGGATGATGCTGTACGAGCAGTACAGGATGATCGGCAAACGTCAATTCGCCCAGGAGAAGGGGCGCCGCGCCGCCAGCTGGGCAGGGATGTGGAGAGCGCAGCAAGAGGGCAGCTTCCTGGCGGGCAAAGAGGCCGCGTCCACGTCCCTTGCGGCAGCCGAGTGCTTTCCAGGTATGGACATGGGTGGTTGCGCACCTCAGGGAGGGATTCTGCAGAAGACGTCGCTCAGTCCCCGGCTGCACCAGGCGCCATTTCAGAGGCGTTGCGATAAGAAGTCATTCGCTGGCGCGCTGCTCGCCCAGGCGGCCGCCATGACGCCCAGAGGCGAGGAAAAGTCGTCACCCGAGTGTTGCGATGGCGGTCCGTCGTCAGTGCGCGGCAAGTCGGAGAGCCAGCGCCCAGGAACGGGCGAATGGAATAGCCTCATGCCGATGGAGAAATTCATTTGGGGATTGGGCGACGGCGAGGGTGCCTTGCCGCACGCGGGCGGCGGCCGGGACTGCCGGGAGTGCCGTGGGGTCGTCAGATGGCATCTGCCCCGGCTGTTCTCCAGGAAGGCGGATTGCGCGATCGAGCCGCGAGCGCTGAGCCTGGAAGGCGAGTCGGTGGTTCTTTCCGGCCATGCCGCTGGTCAGGGGTCGGCCTACGGATTGGGAGCGTTTATCGCAACGCAGAGGCTGGGTAGGCGGTCCGACAGGGGAGTGGTCCGCGTCGATTCGGTCCAAGTTCCGTAGCAGTGCTTGGGCGGCAAGTTGACTGGAGACGAGCCGCTCCTGGGCCCCTTGCCGCCGAAGAGGTGTCTGCCGAACTGGTCGCCGGCCCACCAAGACGAGAGCCTGCCAACAGCGGCTGCGTCGGGCCTGGATCGGGGCGCGAATTTCTCCAGTGACGATGTGGGGTGCCATGCAGGCAAGCAGGCGGCGGGCGTGCTGGGGCCGGCGCTGAATGTGCACAGAACTTGTTGCGTGGTGCATGCAGGGGGACAAATGCCAGGCCCCTGGTGGTGCTCGGCGTGGCGGCTCGTGTGCACTGTGGGTGGCGGCGTCGAGTTGTTACAAACTACACGCCCCAGTTGCGTTTGACCCCTTTAGGAGCAGCGAGGCTGTTTCGGGCTTTGGTTGCGGCAGCGGTGATGGTTGAGGCCGCCAAAGGTGGCTGGGCTCCATTGCAGTCGCGACGGGTGAGGGCAGGGTTCCAAATTCTGTGCTCCCCAAGTGTATCACATCGGCGGCGAAGTGGCACAACAAGAAAAACGTTTGAGCCGGGACGCCGATATTGTGAGACATATCCGCGTGTTCAGGAAATAGCCGGCGCCGTGCTTCTCAACGCGAGGCCACCCAAGCGAAGCTGTCACTTTCTCGTGTTGTCTGAGTTAGCTCTGTAATACAGAGCACGGGAATCGCATGACCTAATCGCGGGGCAACTGCGCTTTCCGCGTGCGTGCCAACGCTCCGTCATCGCTCAGGCCCTGTGCAACCCTCCAAGCAACGCAACGCATTCGAAAACGACTGGGCAAGTGCATGGATCCGCCCTGCGGCTCCTCTGCTGCCACATCAGCAGCTCGGCGCATTCCCGCCCCCGCTCCACGCGGGCGGCCGTCCCTCAAGGCACCCCCGATCCCTCGACTATGTCGCGCTCCAAAAAAAGGCGCCGCTCGATGGAGATCCCCGAGGCACATCCCCCTGCCCCCCGCAATCGAGATCCCACCCTCTGGGCAATCAGCGTGGGCCATCAGGTCCGCCCCCAAAGCCCCGCGCACCGCAGCCCCGCCGCGATCCCCCACCCCCGAACCCCGACGGCAGCATGACGACGGTTGGCGCAGCCGGCTCTCGGTGCGGGACGGCGGTGACCTGCAAACTCGGGTAAGAAGATTGTGCCGATCGGGGGCCGCACTTGACGGGTCCACGGGCACCCGCGGGCGCTTCTTCGCTCACCGCGGGCCTCCACGGCCGGTCGACCCACCGGAGGCCATCGGCGGGGAGCTGCACGGAAAAGATGAGCACAGAAGGTGTTTAAACGCGGTTATGAGACGACTTCCCTTTGCATTTTTCTTCCCCAGGGTACCTACCGGCCGCGCAATCCCGAGTCTTCCTCTCCACCGCTCTGGACGCACACAGAGTACGCCCGCGGAGAGCGGCTGGCCGCCGTCGGCGCTGCTCAGATCGAGTTGTCCATCATTGGGGGGAGGGCTGGGCGGCGCTGATGCCGTCTCCGCGGGGGATGCTGTCGCGCGGCAGAGCCGGGCCTGCCTCGGACAGGATGGGCGCGTTGGGGGCGACTGATCAATCTGCTGCGGGCGGATGTGGTCACTTTACCCGCGCGGAGTCCTAGTCCAGTGAACTGCATTCTTGGGCACTCCTTGTGTCCCTGGTTTGCCCTGTGGTCGTGGGCGGCACTTGCCCGTGCTGTCCAATAGAACGTCGAAACTTTCTCGACACTCTCGCGACAAATGGAGAGCGCAAGAGAATGGAAAGGGCACGAAATGCGCTTGCGGAGAGTGACGGCAGAAATGCAGGTGCTGTCGCACCGTTTCGGTTTCCATTCGGTGCGCCGCGGTTTGGTGGCGCTGGCTCACCAAACCGGGGTGTGCTTGGCCAGGGATCCAGCAGCGCAGGACAGTGATCAAGGCCCAGAAGTCTTCGTTTGACGCCACCGAGAAGATCGATGAGTTCACTTCTTATCTGGAGGTACGTCGTGGCCTGGAACACCTCTTGTTGGGGTCGCTGCGGTCAACAATGCACAGCTCAGGAATCTCAATCTGTTGCAAGCCCCTGTATGAGCTGCGCTGCCTGTCTGGGACTTGTGTTGGGATAACAGCAACATGCGAGGGGCGTCTGCACCCTGTTCGATCTGCCCGTAATAGACATGCACAAAGATCCATGGTGCAGCAAACAATGGAAATAGCCTTTGCTTTCCTCTGAGATACCATGACCACCAGTTGAAGCCATGCCTGTGGCACAGAAACAATGGGACGAAACGGAGCAGAAGCCGGTCGCTGTGGCCGTCATCATCGCTGGCCTGGTTGCCCTCTACGCAGTCAACGGAATCGTTGGCAATGTGGAGAAGATTCCAGTCTTTGGGTTCTTGTTCGAGATTGTGGGCATCTTGGTGACAGGATGGTTTGGCTACCGGTACCTCGTCTTTGAGAGCGACAGGTAAGGAGCTGTGAAAGGTGCTTACTGATCACATTGATTGTGTCCCCAAGCTCTGGCAGCAGTGGACTGTTGCTGCTAATTGGTGTATTAAATGTGGTGACATCAATTCTAGACTTGCGGTTTCAAGATCCTCAATGTAACGGGCCCATCTGGGACATTCGGTTCTGATACTCCATATATCCGGCCACCACTATGAATTTGCCTTCTTTACGTTACAGTCATTCTTCTTCCATGTTTCTCCCTATTCTCTGGTAGCCAGCTATGAATGTTCTGGCCAGAAGGAAGTACCATACCAGCTGCTCAGTAGGTTGTGACTATTGCAGTATTCTTTTGTTCCTGTGGCTGTCAGGGTGCTGATTTGATGGGTTTCATTTTGCAGGGAGGAGCTCAAGCAGAACATTGACGACTTCCTTGACAAAGTCAAGGGAAACTGAGCCTGGGTGCGCTCGGTGGGGATGAGCTTGTAC